TTGGCTTATGATATTGAGCTGTTTCTCAGTCTCTTCCCACAGATGTAGCCAATTTGATTCCTGTGTACTCAGTGTGGTGGGGTCCATGTGTATAATCATCTTTTATTTGTTTAAAGAAGATATTTATAATGGAATATATCATGGGTCTTGTAAAATTCTATTATGTGATCTCCTGTGTCCCTTCTATTCCCAAGGCCATGTTTCCCAAGTAAGCTTGGCTTAGGTATACACTTAAGGTGCTGTGTGTGCATGTTTGGATTTAGATATAGACTCTTAGGTCTTCCCCAGGAAGTTACAGAGCTTTCCCTTTCCTGGTGTTCCCAACACACTGCAGCTTCATAGTCTGCAATCGTAGTTCTCAAACTTGAGAGTACATCAGCAGCACCTGGAGGGAGGACTTGTTAAAACACCACTACTGGACCACACCTGATTTCCTAATTCAGTAGCCCAGGGAGGACTTCAAGAAGCTTGTGTGGTGCAAGCAGTTTCAATGAGCTGTTATCTTAAACACTGGGGCCTTGAACCCATCCAATATCAGGGGAGGATTACCCAATAAACAAGATAAGTATGGGATTATTTCTGCTTACTTACTAATCTATAGTGAACAATTTCACTTGGGTTTCACCACACAAATAAGTCCATGCTTACCTTAATTACTGGGCAAAGCAGGTCAGGGACTAAAAGCTCACAAAGAGGTTTTCATTCTAGGTGCTGTGTGGCTGGGAAAAAGACAAAAGCTAACAATAGCTAAAAGCAGAATCTTAAAAGAGGTCCACATGATTAATAATATCAGAAATGGACAATACATTGAAAGGGGAAAGGAGCAGAACTGAAGAGATGAAAGCCAGAACCAGCAAGCTAGAAGACAAACCTCTCAATACTGCTAAGACAGAAGAGCAAGCAGAAAAAAGGATTAAAAAATCTGAAAAGAGTTTAAGATTCATGCTGGATAATATGAAGAGGAACAACTTAAGAATTATTGGCAGTCCAGAACAGGAAGAATCAAAGAAGTCTACAGATGAGATAGTTGAAGAGCTTCTGGAAGAAAATTTCACTAACATCTTGAAAGATGAGAAGATAAACATTCAAGAAGCCAAACATACCCCAGAAAGGATAGACCCCAAAAGAAAATCACCAAGACATATAATAATCAAGCTCTCCAAAATCAAAGACAAGGAGAGAATCCTAAAAGCAGAATCTTTGATGTGGGGAAAACATCTGAACTTGTTCACCCAGATTAGTAAACACAATTAAACTCATGTTACCATGTTTATTGGTTAATCTGTAACTGTCCAACTGTTTCTCAGAAGAAAGGCCTGGAGAAATGCTTCCATAAAAATTACAGTCAATAAATTACACAATAAACTCAAAGAAAATAATATGCTTGCACATCAAAATAAGAGAAAAAGTCAGAAAGATTTAGCAAACATTAACACAACAGAAATGAAAATGAAAACACCCAGACGAAATTAACTCAGCTTAGAAAATTATGTGGAACAAAGAATCCTGCAGCACCACACACACACACACACACAAAAAAAAAACTCTACAGGAAAACGAGAGCAATCAATTTGTACCTAATGATAATTACACTGAATGTAAATGGATTAAATGTACTAGTCAAGAAACATATCGAAAGCAAAATGGATAATAAAACAGGATCCTTCAATATGCTACCTACAAGAGCTATATCAAAAAGATGGAGGCAGCGTAAATACCCTTCAACAGAAGAATGGTTTAACAAATTTTGGTACATACACACAATGGAATACTATAAAACGTTGAAGGATAATGATGAGTCTGTAAAACACCTCACAACATGGTTGAACCTGGAGGACAATATGCTAAGTAAAATCACTCAATCACAAAAAGATAGATATTATATGAGACCAAAGTGGAAAAAAAATTTTTTTTAAAGGTTTTTTTTGTTAAAGGAACTTTTTTTTGTTGTTTCCGGGGGGCGGGGAGGAAACATTATTCACATGCTAGAGGGTAGACACACATTAACATGGACGACAGGGCAAGCAATATACAACAAGAGGGAGGTTAGCAGAGGAAAGATGAAAGTAGCAGGAGACTCAGAAAGAAATGCAATAGTTAAAGTGAATCGAGGTACATGGAGGGGATTGCACTGTGTAATGAAGCAAAGTATATGATTTGTTGAGTGAAACACTGATAATCTACTCTGTAAACTTTAAATCAATTCACAGTACAAAGTTGGGGACGGGGGGATTACAGTCAAGAGAACCCTTTAAGAGCAGTTCCACTCTGTAACACATAAGGTCACCACAAGTTGAACTCAATCAATGGCAAAGGGTTTGGTTTGGGTTTGGGTGGACCTTAGCATCTGCATTTCTAACATGCTCCTAAGCATACTGATGGTGGTACAGGAAGCACATTTTAGAACAGCTGATCTACACCAGAGGTCAGCAAACATTTTCTGTCCAGAGTCAAATAGTAAATATTTCTGCTTCACATACCATACAGTCTCTTTTGCAAGTGCAGCAACAACTTTAAATGATAGGTAAAATGAATTGGTGTGGCTGTGTTCTAGTAAAACTTTGTTTTTGTGTGTTTTTTTTCCCCAACTTTCTTTATAAAGCTAGGCAGTGAGCTGTTTTTCCCAACCCTTGAGCTACATCAACTTGCTGGGATCCACAATCCCATGCATACACCAAAAAGCACTGTTCTGCTACTGGCCTTGTCATAGTGCCTGAAGGCTGCCAGCAAAGTGTCAAAGTTTTGGCAGTTAACTTTCTTCAAGTGATGTCGAACCGCTGCAATCATAGCTCGCTGTCTGTCTTTGCCTCGAAGATATTCACCCGGAAGTCTATTATGGATGAGATCACCAGCTCCTAACAGAAAGGGGGGGAAAAATCTTTAAAGTTTAGATTTAAAGTTTGTCAATATTTTTTCCAACCTAAAAATAAGAGAGAGACCTGTTAAGCCCTGTGAATAAAGGAACTCACATCTAACTATGTAACACTAATGTGCATCATGACAGAACATTCTGTGTATAAAAAACAGAAAGTAATTGATAAAAATTAATATCCATTTAATGTCACTTCCTTGCTCAAGAAAAAATAATCTGAAAATATAAGTTTTGTGGACACATCATGAGACCCATCCAATTGTCCAGTTATTTTCTAAGCTTGTGAGGCCTTTGTCTGGCTATCTTTCAAGAGACATTTGTCTATAGACGATCTAAAAGCTGGGGCTGATTCCATACTGGGACAACTCTGATGCCTAGGACTTGACTGATCCTCTGGAAGCCATTATGAGAATTAGACTCAAATTCCCTCCTCCCTCCTAGCAAAAATTCCCAGTTGCCCATTCCCAGTTCTCTTTTGAGTCCTTACCTGCACCCCTCTCAGGTATCTTTAAGCAATACCTTTTCCAGTCTTCCGCTCCATCCCCCAGACCTGGCCCTTACTTTAACCATCCTCATTTACACCACAAAGTAAGTAATAACAACACCTACACTGTCTAGAAAACCTCATTTCTAGTCATTCCTTTTTGAAAAAATTCCTTTGATATTAATGTTGACAGGAATTAGATTTCATCTGACCATGCTGTTTCACACCTCTCTTTTTCTTCCAGGACCTCTTAGCTTTCTTGGAACAGTTTCACCTTGTGGCAGTTGGCTGTAATAGCCTGAATGGATTCATTTAAATTGCATCGTTGATTTTGTTGTTCTTGTTGTATGTCATGGAGTCAGTTCTTACATATAGTGATCCTATATAGGGTTTTTGAGAGTGGTTGGTGGGTTTGAAATGTTACTCTTGCAGTTAGCAGTCCAGTGTCTCTTCTACAGTGCCACACCAGAGTTCAACATTGGTTCTAGACAATTCTGTATAAGGCAATATATAGAAGCGTCTTTCAAGAGTTTAATGAGAACTCATAGCACCTTTAAGTCATTGGTAATTAATTTAAAAATTAAGAGATACCATGCACTCTGAAATAAGTTTTGGTCCTTCAGATAGACAGTAAGTTTAGCTAAGAATCCACAGCTATGAGAGTTAATGCTTTGTGTCAACTTAGTTATGCCATGATTCTCAGTGATTTGGCAGACACTATGGAATTACCTTCTATTTAGTGATCTGATATGAGCAGCCAAGCAGCTGAATGAGGTGCTTTCTTGGTAGTGTAGCCTGTACATAAAAGGATGTCCTGTCAAACCTAATTCATTCAACCTTTTGATGCTGCATCTCTCTCATCCTCTGACCTTTAGAGTTCTTGAGATGTACACTGAAGAAGTCTTAAGCCTTCTACCTAATTTGCATATTAGGGCACTGAAGTATCAGCACTGGACTTCAAACCACAAAGGAGGCAATTCAAGCCCAATAGCTGCTCCTTGGAAACTCTATACAAGGTTGCTAGGAGACAGACCAAGTCAATGGCATTTAACAACAATAATAACATGGCTCCCTGTGAGTGGGATGGCTCCATAGGATGCGCTCTGGACTGTGAACCACAGGGTCAGTGGTTCAAGCCCATAAGTCGCTCTGTGGGAGAACGATGTGGTTTTCTGCTCCCGCAAACATTTAAAACCTTGGAAATCCTATACAGGTTCACCATGAGTCAAAACTGACTCTTTAATGACACTTAACAAAATGGCCCCCCTTAAACCAGCAGACATCCCCAACCTGCTGCCTAACTGCAACCACGTGAGCCGGTAGAGGTCTTTAGAATGCTGCCAAAATTATGGAATGCTGCCTAAGTTATGGAAACAGCATATTTCATCACAATGAAGGAGCATTGTGAAATTTACTTCTAGAAAATGAAAATTTTCTAAAAGTTAATCTCTTGATACGTATTTATATATACATTTCACTGGTTTTGCTCCTCTAGAGTAGCCAGACTAAGACAATAATGAATGCTGATTACAGAAACAAGGTGACTGCCTCAGAATAAGGATTTGATGTAGGATCAACTATCAAGAGACAGACCTAAAGTGAGCAAGACACAAGAAAAGACTCTGGGAATGGAAATTAAGACTATTAGGGATGATTTATGACAAATGAGTGTGACTTCTTTCTTTACTCTGAACTCAGGTATAAACCCTTTGGGGGCTATTCTATGCAATGGAGACTCTTGTTCAATGATATTGCTTTTGTTTGAGTATTTTATTCTTTTCAGAGTCCTGCTCTCTCTTGTTAACATCCAAAGATAACCACTTGAATGGTTGTCTTTTTTCATTTGCATTTTAATTTTGCCACGACACTCCCCCAGGATTATCTGGTGGGTGAGACCTATACTGTATGTTCTTCTGCCTTGGCCTTGAAAGAATATCTATGAAATTAATGTCAAATCACTTGCAATCACTCGAGTCATTTCTAAAGAAATGAAATCAGGAATGCAAGCTCTGACTCTAAGAGAGAGACACATAACTTCACTACCACATCATGTCAGTCAGTAAAGCTAAACAGACTCCTCATTTACACTCTGCCTACAACCAGCGACCATCATGCATGACTATCCTTGTGCCTGGATTTTTCTTTCACTTTACCTCTGCCCTGGTGCATTTTGGGAGTTGAACACAGACTTGCACTCTTCCTGGGGGCATCTTACTACAAGAAACAACTCCAGACCCTGTGGATGAGGCAATCTTGGTGCAGCTGCCTTTATTTCTCTAAGTAAGGAGACAGAAGAAACCCAGGCCCAGTAAAGAAACTCCTATGCCCCTAGAACCAGACAGTCCTTGCTGCTTTCCACTAAATAGATGCTATTAGGAAACTCAATAATAATCACAAAAGCCAGAATCAAAGTAAATTTTACTCTGTGTCTATCCAGAACTCAAAAAAAAAACACAAAAAAACGCAGAGAGGACTGCCACAGTAGCACTATATTTCACTTAGGCTGAGACTCATATACTTCAAAAAAATATTAATAGCAATTTCCTTTCTTTTAATTTTATAAGACTACCTCATCATTCAATACATGAGGATAATATCAACCATTAGGAAACTTGCCAATGTTGTCAAATTGTCAAAATGATCAACTATGCACTGGATTCACCAATTCATGCAATAAATATTGATGAAAGGTGCCTGAGGATCCAGTAGTCAGCAGGATAAAGTACCCCCATACACTCTTTCCCTGTCTAAAAGCATCTATTAAAGATGCAATAGCTCAGCTAAAAATAGAATCAAAATACAATTTGCTAATGTATTGATTAATACTGCTCCAAAACATTAAATTCAATAAATACTTACTGCATTTGGACAGTGAGTGTACTATGGCTATGATATTTTCAATAGTAGTTCTTAAACTCTAGCATATATAAGAATCTATCAAATCAGATTATCTGCACATGAGTTCCAGGAACCTGCCTATTTAATAACCTCCCTCAATGAAAACCACTAACAGACAGCTTTAGCTCATTTTTCACCCCTTTGTCTTTTAGAACCCCTACAAATAAAGAGAAAAGTCCTGTGAAGTATCTTCCCCTTTATGGATTGATTGCCTGGTGGGGAGAGAATGGTTAATTATGTGGTTGTTCAGCGAAGGGCTTTCTCAAACTTTCATGTTCATACCACTCACCTGGGAATATTGTTAAATAGCAGATTCTGACTCAGTAGATCTGGTGCAGGTCCTGTGAAGTCTGCCTGAATAGATCTAGTACAGGTCCTGAGACTTTGCCTGTCACACAAGTCTCGGGGTGGGCAACATTACTGACAGGCTGTGGACCACATTTTAATATCAAAGGGTTTAGTACTATTTGAATTCATTAGAAAACTACTTCGCTTTACTTTGACGTTTTCTATACAGACATTTATTTTCTAAATAAAATGCAAAGTCTTAACTACACTTGGAAGTATTCATTGCAAAGGCTTTAAACTTTACCTATTTCAAACATAATGTGAAATCATTATTTTCTCTCTTGCCTTACATTTTTCTCATTACTATTAATGCAAATTTTAAGTCTTTAAAATTAGAAGTTTGGAAAGTTGTTGGTGAACTTAACCGAATACGTTGTTTTTTTTAAGAAAACTTGTATACTTACCATACTCCTCAGGGCAGAGACAAGCACCAAATGTGTGGTTTGGGGGAACATTCATTGTTTCTGCAATGCTATCAAAGAAAACAAACCCTTTAGTTAAAATACTCACCACAGGGCATTGTTGGAATTTAAAATATGCTAGCCATATGTTCTTAATAGACTATGGTTTCTACTATAGCCAAAGTAAGGATATCAGACAAAAGTTCTCCCAGAGTTCTGTGTGATCTTGCATACTGACTTGTACTAACAATGGCTGAATGCTTTAATGCACATTCAGTAGCTCACATTTAAAAGATAAAAAAGAAAACAGAACACATTCAAAACAGAACTACTGAGGATGACAGATAGATAGGTATAACAGTATATTTATGAGTATGTGTATGTGTGTGTATAGAGAGAGTGAGAGAAAGAAAAACATAATAAGTTAAATTTTCTGATAGCCCAGAAATAAATCTTTGTAAAATATTCAACCCTTCCTTTTCTCCAAATGCCCTCTTCATCTTAAAAGACTCACACTTACCTGGAACCCCAAGCTTTTACAGGGGTTAATAGAGTTGAAATGATTAATAACAGCCAAAAAAATGATTTTCTTATTTAACAGCAGAATCTAACAACACAAACCAACATTTACCACACAAGTAATATTTAAATTCAATTCAAAAAGTCTGAATTTAAATGTAATCATCAACTTACGGGTCTAAAACTCTTCCAAGTTTATGTTGAAACTTTTCTTTGAAATCATCAACTCTCTTGGATACAACTTTAGCTCCTCTTCTCCTGTAAAATTAGAAAAATGTCTGACACCTCTATTACCTAAACTATTCTTGACATTTGCATGCGCTTCAGAATACCATGTCATTTGGGCCTTCAAAGAACAAATCTAGTATTAGAAGAAAGTATGTTCTGAAAAAAAAACCCTCTATGTGTTCAGGTCTCTCTCATTAATATTCTATTTTAAAAATAACTTTTCATTAAAAAATCAGGCAAGTAGACTTAAAAAATACTTTCAGTAAACAAGAAAAAAAGTGTTAGTATTATTAATATAATTGCAATGGCTAAAATTGCTAAAAGAAAATTAAGCACCTAATTGATAAATAGGGAGTACTGGTGTGGTGCTCTGGACTAATGCATCAGACTGCAAAGCCATTTGAACCGCAAAGTCGGTGGTTCAAGCTCACCAACTGCTCCTTGGAAACCCTATACAGGGTCACTATGGGTCGGAATCGACTCAACGGCACTTACCAACAATAACAACAATTGATAAATAACCAAAGGACATAAACAAACAATAAGGAAATATAATTTTGTTGTTAGGTACTGTTGAGATGGTTCTGACTCATAGCTACCCTACGCAAAACAAAATGAAATACGCCCCATCCTATACCATTCTCACAGTGTTGCTCTGTTTGAGACCATTACCTCAGCCACTGGGGCATTCCAACTTGATGGGAGTTTCCTTATTTTTCACTGACTCTCCACTTTGCCAAGCATGATGTCTTTCTCCAGGGACTGCTCCCTCCTGATAACAATTTTGAAATACATGAGACCAAGTCTCACCATTCTGACTTCTAAGGAGCATCTGGCTGTACTTGTTTCAACACAAATTTGTTTGTTCTTCTGGCAGGCAATGGTATTTTTAATATTCTTTCCTAACACCATAATTCAAATACATCAATTTTTCTATTGTCTTCCTTATATATTGTCTACCTTTCACATGCACAGGAGGCAACTGAAAATACCATGGCTTGGGTCAGGTACACCTTAGTCTTTAAATGATATCTTTCTTTAATAACAATTTAAAGAGGTTGTATGCAGCAGATCTGCCTAATGGAACATATTCTTTGATTTCTTGACTGCTGATTCCATGAGTGTTGATTGTAGATCCAAAATGAAGTCTTTGACAATAGAATGTAGAAACCATAGAACAATATCATTAATATCACATGCAAGAAAAATTTTAATGAAGATAATGCAAAAGAGGCTGCAATAACACATCAACAGGGCATTTCCTGAAATTCAAGCCAAATTCAAGTGGAACGAGGGATATCATTGCCGACATCAGATGGATCGTGGCTGAAAACAGAGAACACAAGAAAGATGTTTACTTGTGCTTTACTGACTATGCAAATGCTTTCAACTGTGGGGATCATGACAAGCTATGGATAATATTGCAAAAAATGGGTATTCCAGAACACTTACTTGTGCACATGAGGAGCCTGTACACAGACCAAGAGGCAGTTGTTCAAACCCAAGGGGCTACTGACTAGTTTAAAATCAGTAAAGGGAAGCAATAGGGTTGTATTATTTCACTTCACTTATTCAACCTGTATGCTGAACAAATAATCTGAGAAGCTGGATTATAGGAAGAATATGGCATTAGGATAGGAGGAAGACTCATCAACTACCTGTGATACACAGATGATAAAAGCTTGCTTGCTGAAAGTGAAAAGGACTTAAAATACTTGATGATGAAGATCAAAGATTCCAGCCTTCAGTATGGATTGCACATCAATGTAAAGAAAACAAAAATCTCCAAGAACTAGACCAATAAATAACATGGTAATAAAAGGAGAAAAGATTGAAGTGGTCCAAGGTTTAATTTTGCTTGGATCCACAATCAACAACCATGGAACCAGCAGTCAAGAAATCAAATGACACATTGCCTTAGGCAAATCTACTGTTCACTACCTCTTTAAAGTATTCAGGAGCAAAGACGTCAGTTTGAGGACTAAAGTGCAACTGACCCAAGCCATGGCATTTTCATATTCATGTGAAAGTTGGATAATGAATAAGGAAAATGGTAAAAGAATTGATGAATTTGAGTTATAGTGTTGGAGAAGAATATTAAAAGTACCATGGACTGCCAGAACACAAATAAATCTGTGTTGAAAGTAGTACAGCCAGAATGCTCCTTAGATGCCAGGATAATGAAATTTCACCTCATATATTTGGACATGTTATCAGGAGGAACCAGTCCCTGGAGAAGGATATGATACATGGTAAAGTGGAGGATCAGTGAAAAAGAGGAAGAACCCCAACGAGATGGATTGGCACCATGGCAACAGCAATGGGCTCACACGTAACAACTATTGTGAGCAATATCTCATTCTCTTGTGTCTATTGGAACTGATTCAAGGGCACCTAACAATAGCAACAACAACAAGTTTGTAAAGCCAATGTTTTAGATCCTATTTTAGTGAGTAATATATGGTTTCTAAAAAACTTGCAAGTAGTCATCTAAGGTGCAATCATTGTCTCTTCTGGTGTTGAGACAAAGAGTGAAGAAAATCAAGATGCAAGGAAACAATTAATCCAAAATATTAATGGACCATGACCCAAAAACCATAAGAAATAAGTGGGTTTATTATTAGTGCTGCTAACCATTTTAAACGACAGTACAATAGAAGACCCAAAATTGAGTGGGCAAAATATGGAGAATAGAACTCAAAATCAGAAAGAAAGACCAGGCTTATAAAGACTGGTGGAATCCCCAACACCATGGCCCTGAAAGTACCCTAGATTCTGAAATTGAACTTGCCCTCTGACTCCATTTTAGCTAACTGATAAGCCTGTAAGGTCAACAATGGAGTCCTGGTGTGGCACTGTGGGTTAACGCACCAGACTGCAAAGCCATTTGAACTGCAAGGTTGACGGTTCAAGCTCACCAGCTGCTCCTCAGAAACCCTATACAGGTTCACTATGGGTTGGAACCAACATAATGGCACTTAACAACAACAAGGTCAACAATAACACTAAGGAGGTAATCACTCATTAGAACAATCAGCCATAAGAGATCGAAACAATATATGTCCAAGGATATAGCTTAGCAGGCAGGAAGAGATAGGAAAGGACAAAAAGAAATGAAAATACATGGTAGAAGTAAGAAGAGTGCTGTTACATTGTGGAGATTGTGATCAACGATGCAAAACAAAATGTGTATGAATTATTGAATGAAAAACCAATTAGCTTTATAAACTTTCACTCCAATCACAAAATAAAGTGTCTAAGTCCTCATTTACAAGGGAAAAAAAAGTCATCTAAATATCAAGTCATAGGGGAAATTAAATTATTTCCCCATACTTTGCTTGCATTTTAAATGTTGTTTATGTAGAATCTATGTTGTTGGTGTTGTTAAGTTCCATAGAGTTGGTTCTGACTCATAGTGACCCTTTATAAGGTTCCCAAGGGGAGGCTGGTGAATTTGAAATGCCAACCTTGTGGTTCAAAATGACCTTGCAGTCCAGTGCTTTATCCTACAGCATATAAAATGGTATTGCACTATTTCTAAAGCTCTGCAAAAATACACACAGGGCAGCGTATAAAAAAAATATATATATATCTTAAAGTGATAACAATGGTTGAATTAAGGTGACAGGATGATGAGTGATTTTATTTTAGCAATTCTCTGTAATATAATTCTGTTACTTCTATTATTGTGATTAAATGAATAAAATTTATTTTATTAAAACTGTAAAATTACAACATTACTATTTAATTACATTAAAATTAATGAATTCTCTATTGTTTCACTGAGAATAAAAACAATGAACATTATATTCTTAACTCCCATTTGCTTTTAAAAGAATTGCCTGTAGTATAGAAATATTATCAAGCTGAATAAATTACTGGAGAAGAGTGACACTCTGTGGAAAAACAAAAGATTAAATATAAAGTCATTCATCTTTTACGTCTTCATTTCCCTTCTCATTTGTTAGAAAAGGGGAAAAAAGTGGTGGGGAGTACAAAGTAAAATCATATTGAGGCAATGGCAGTTTATTGGCTAGAGTTTGAACAAATAGAATCCACAACCCAAAATAAACTCCAATGAACATAATTAAGGAACCTGCAGGGATCACTAAAGGAAGGACTGTAAATCACACAACAGCTTCAATTTTGTCTGAAAGGACCTGGATTATGCTTCTGAGAAAATCAGGAAGTATCTCTGGGTAGCCATGTAGATCAGAATACTGATAACTGCAACATCAGTATACAACCTCACAACACTGGTTAACGAATTCAGAAAAAATTTTTTGTGCGCCAGTAAATCAATTCATACATTCACACACACACAACATATACTCATACACACAGACACTGTCATTAAATTCAAACTCATTCTTCAAACCAAAGAATCATGATGATCATACTGTTTTACAGAAGAAATAAACCAAATTTACATTAAATAAGTACATATAAAATTGGAGATGGATAAAATGTAAGCAAGCATACAAGCTTATAATAGAAATCACACTGAATTATGCAGTAGTGTGTTTTTGTTTTTGTAACCACACTAACAAAAACTAAATATCCCTATTGCTTTAGCTAGAATTGTCCAATTAAATCTCAAAATCTGGATTTTTGTGAATAATCTTATAATATTAAATGTTGGCTCAAATATAAAATATAACTGGGAAATAGAAAAAGAAAGAAAGAAAAAACCCTAAGGAACACCATTTTAATTTTCTGAATAGGTTGTTATTGTTGTTGTTAAGTGCCCTTGAAGCAGTTTCAACTCAGTGACCCCACACACAACAGAACGAAACACTGCCCAGAACTACACCATCCTCATAACTGTTGCTATGTTTGAGCCCATTGTTGGAGCCACTATGTCAATCCATCTCATTGATGATACTCTGCTTTTTCCCTGACTCTCTACTTTACCAAGCATGACATATTTCTTCAGGGAATGATCCCTCCTGACAACATGTCCAAAGTACATGAGACAAAGTCTCGTCATCTTCACTTCTAAGGAGCATTCTGGCTATACTTCTTCCAAG